CAAGCGGTGGTTTTCGCTATTTCTGTTTTACGATTATTGCAGTGTGCACAGTGCTGCTTCAATTTACACGCTGCATATTCATGGAAAAATAGTGGTGACGCAGTGAGGTTAAAAAAAAAAGGAAAACAGCGAAATCGATGGGGAACGCACGCGTTTCTTTGTTTTTCGTTTAGGGGAAACGCGCCTGGAATGCAGTAATTAATTCCGATAGCACGGTCGCGTTAATTACAGCCATTTTTAGATACGGACCATCCATGTTTGGAGCGTTTTCATGGTCTGCGGAGCGTCGAAAAGTACTTCGTGGAACTTTTGCTTTGCCTTGTTTCTTTTGGCCGGTAGCCTTTTTCGCTGTTGGTTTGACTTTCTTTCCTCTCTCTCTCTCTCTTTCTTTCTCTCTCTAAAAGAAAGTATGCCATCGTGGCGAATTCTGTTGTGGTTGCATGAGCAGTTGTTAATTACCACGAGATGGTTACGTTTGTAATTGTTGGCTATACGATTTCTTATACCTTTAACAGAAATTGGAATTCTTTATTTTCACACTTGTGAGTTTTCTAAGTGCAAATAATTAGTGTATCAAATAGAGATGACATGAATAATTAATTTCCTCGAATAACTTCTTTTATTTTTATTTGATACCCATTATAATTTCTAAAAGCGCAGAAGATAACACAACGATACTGCTCTTGGACATGCCAAATACAAATGAACGTTAACGTAGTCTAATTTATGTACGTCACAACACTAAGACAGATAAACTTCCACTTTCTCTATTAATCATAGTTCACGTATGGATATTTCTCAATCTGACTAACAGCTCTGCGGACTCTCCGAAAATTCTCACTGGGCTTGAGCATCGCTCAAAGTTCTTGCTCGCCGATCGCTGCATAAGCCACTCAGTTACTGACCTATATTCTCTCTTGACAATTTTAAAAAGAGGACTCATTTATCTAGCAGTATGGCTGAATGACAGTGTCATCACTTAGATCTTTAATTTCTGGAGAATATCGTGTTTAAAGTTTCGCGTGGGCTATTCCTATTATTCATACGGTGGTAATTTATGATGTACATTTCGCATGTCGGATTTAGCACCGTCACTCTTACATTTTATCTCATTAGTGCTGATTTCTTATTCAAAAAATTATACTTTCCTATATATGTATGTATTCATCTACTTAAAACAGTTATAGTTCGTGATGATGTATTTTAATTGATATATCTCAACTTCGAGTTAATTACATTCAATAATAATTTTATATAGTCTTTGATAATAATTTTAAATAATTTTAAATAGTCTTTGATAATAAATTAATATTTAAAGATATTGCAAGAGATTTAAATGAATGAATGTATTGCTGCATTTCAAAAAATATTCTACCCAAAAAGAATACATTAGTGATTTTGTGCAAGTTTCAGATATCATATGCAAAATGTTGAAAGAGAGGTAAATTGTTCACACTATTAATAATTATTCACTATATTGACTTGAATTTTTATTTAAAGCTCACTTTTCAATGTAATTAAATAAAATTAATGAATATACGTATATAATTACCACATCCTATAATTACGTTATCCTCGTTTTACATAAATGTGTGTGCAGGACCAAATCAAAAAATAATAACACAAAAACAGTCTTCATCGAACCTTCGAAGAGGGCTGACGTGTTTTTGTTTTGATCGACGTCCCGCGAGTACTACGTGTCAATCGCGCGACTGTGATTCGTGTTGTGTGTATGTGCGTGCGTTTCGCTAATAAAGCGTACTAGCGCGGCATAGTGAATAAATAATTTCGTCTGCACTCAGGTGCAGCGTAATTAGATCATGCTCTCCTCTCAGATGGCTTCCGGTACCGGGGCCCATCTACCAACCGAAACCAACGTCATTCTCACCCAAGGTCAACAAATTCCAAGTTACTCAACAGCAACGCAAAAAGACCAATTTCCAAGCAGAGAACAAGCAATCGTCATTGAATCCAAGGATGGCGTGCAACTAAAAGAGTACATACAAGCTATTGGAACAATTGTAAAACCGATTAACGTCAAGTTTGCTTCAAAAATCTCAAACAACCGAGTATGTATATTTCTCACCGGCAAAGAACTTGCAGAAGAAACGGCAACCAACCACAAACAAATAACCATTCAAGGACAAATACACGAACTTCGATTACTTCTAACACGTCACAAACGTATCATTCTCTCGAACGTATGCCCTTCGATTCCACATTCCTTTATCGAAAACATTATCGACAATATAGGTATTAGACGCAGCTCGTCAATCTCATACCTTAAGGTCGGTGTTGGCGAAGAATATGCTCACGTGCTGAGCTTCCGACGCCAGATGTACATACATCCTGATGACTTAGAAAAAATTCCACCCTCTCTGCAAATCACGTACGGAAACGACAAATTCTGGATATATCTTTCAACGTATACGCTAAAATGTTTCGGATGTAAACAAGAAGGTCACATAGCTAACAACTGCCCAGCTGTTATTGGCGACAAGACGCAAAACAACAATATAAACTTGGAGCAAGAAAAGTCCAAATCCCCGAATAAAGAGAGAAAAAATAGTAGAATAGAAGAGCAGATCGCAAACAATAGTGATACAGATGAGCAGATCGTAAACAATAGTGATACAGAAGAGCAGAGTGCAAACAGTAATAGCGACAAACTAGAAAACGTAAACACCAACATTATGGAAGTCGACGAAACAACTAAACCAACAACGTTGGTAGCTCCTCCTGCGTCTACCAACTTAAAAAGAACAAGTTCTGTATTATCGTCAGACTCTTCCAACACACCGCTCCAAATAGAAACAACTTCGTCGTCAATCAAAGTGAATACAAAGAAGAAAACTGATAGAGTCAAGCCTAAGAATGGCAAAAAGCAAAAGGCTGACATCAGCAAGAAAACTCTCGATGAAATGATCGAACCGTTGCGCGAAACATTGAGCATGCCGGGAAAAACTCTAGACTTCATACAATTCAAAAGTTTGTTGGAAAATGTACATGGTTCGAATGACGTTTTATCTATATCAAAACAATACTGCGACAATGTTGATGACATTACAACACTTCTAGATGAACTCTATCCCCTTCTCCAAGACAAAAACATGAAAAGCAGGTTTACTCGACTCAAGAAAAAATTGATAAAACAAGACACAGACAACGATAGTCAACAAACCTCCGATGAAGAAACTGCATAATCTTCTACAATCAGCACAATGGCGCTCAAAATCATTCAATGGAATATAAATGGCCTTGACAAACATTTTGAATATCTACAAAAACTGATCGACGACGAAAAGCCCGATATAATTTGCATTCAAGAAACCAATTTCAAGCATGACCGCCATCGCAAACTAAAAGGATTCGAAACAGTGAATAAAAACCGCGGCGACAGTCAAGCTGCAAGCGGTGGAGTCGCGATTTACGTAAGCAAAAATATATGTCATAGCGAAGTAGAAATTCTAACTAATTTCGAAGTAAATGCCATCTCTGTGATTATCGGCTCAAATAAAATTCATATAGTCAACGCTTACCTACCTAACAGCCAGCGATTATGCTATGATGATCTAGAAAATATTATACAACAGATGCCGAAGCCGGCAATACTCTTAGGAGACTTCAACAGCCACAACACCTTATGGGGTTCAAATAAGACCGATTCAAGAGGACAATTAGTCGAAAATTTACTCGTTAATAATGACATAGCTCTTCTTAACTCCGAATCACACACGCACTTCAATGCGGCTAATGCAACCTTTAGCAACATCGACCTATCCTTCTGCCATCCAAGCGTATACGAAAGGATCGAATGGTACGTACTAGAAGATTTATATGATAGTGACCACTTTCCTATCGTATTAAAATATAATACCGATTGCACACGAGATAATAATCATAGTAAAAAATGGATTCTGAAAAAAGCAAACTGGAGACTATTTCAGTTATTGATTAGCGATAAAATAGAATCACTCAAAGATCCCGAGACTTGCGAAGCCGATGAAATCGATGAAATAATAGATAAATTTGTAGAAATAATAACAGGAGCTGCAGAACAAGCAATTCCACAAACGAGAAATAATATCGAGGCTAAATACGTGCCGTGGTGGAATGAGGATTGTGCAAAGGCAGTAAAAGAATACAAACACGCATTTAACAGGTTTAAAAAACATCCGACATTCGACAACCAAGATGAATACAAAATGAAAAAAGCTGTATCACGTAAAACAATTAAATCGGCCAAACAGAAAGCCTGGATTGAGTTCATATCAAGTCTCAAAAACTGTTCGCCAAGTAATGAAATTTGGAAAAAAAATAAATGCCATTAACGGAAGGAAAAGTTGGAATAAAATCACAGCACTAACAAAAGCCGACAAAACAATAACCACAAACGATAAAGAAATGGCAAACCTTCTAGCTGCGACATTCGCCAAGAACTCGAGTGATGCTAACTTCGACCCAGAGTTCTTACAATTCAAAAATGAGGAAGAGCAAAAAGTAATCGATCTCGATAACATCGAATTATCAGTGGACTCAGAAAGCTTAAACAACTGTATAGGACTAAAAGAACTACAAGAAGTGTTAAAGAATTGTAAAAATTCTAGTCCGGGACCTGACAAAATACCAAACGCGTTTATCAAACAACTGCCCTTAGTGGCTCTGGAATATCTAACTAAAGTGTACAATCTGATTTGGACTAAGAATTCCTTCCCGAAAAGCTGGCTCGAAGCAACTGTTATTCCTATTCCAAAAGCTGGCAAAGATAAGCTCAGTACGGATGGCTATAGGCCTATAGCCCTTACGTGCTGTCTATGCAAGGTTCTCGAAAAAATATTGAATAAACGGCTGAGATGGTACTTGGAAAAAAATGATTTAATCTCTCCGAATCAGCATGGCTTCAGACACCACAGGTCTACCAATGATGTGCTAGTGACCGTTGAGTCAAAATATGCGAAGCCTTCGCCAACAAACAGCATTTGGCTGCCTTGTGCCTAGATATGGAAAAGGCCTATGACATGATATGGAAAAGGAAAGTGATCGAGCTAATGGCAGACTACAAAATCGGCGGTAACATGATTAAATTCGTCGCCAACTTTTTAAAGAAGAGATATTTCAGAGTAAAAATAAATGGTACGTTATCAGACTGTCTCGAAACTGAAAATGGAGTCCCCCAGGGATCAGCTATCAGTGTTACATTGTTTCTAATAGTAATCAACCTATTCAAGAACTGTATACAAAAACCTGTCAGTTACTCCGGGTTTGCTGACGATTGTACAGTCCTCGTTGCAGGAAAAAATCCAAAAACCACAACTCAGCTGCTCCAAAAAACAATCAACCAACTCGAAACTCTCAATCGAAGAACGGGGTTCCGCTTTTCAAAAACTAAAACTGTTCTAGCTATATTTTCCAAAGCAGCACTAGATCTAGAAGAATTTCAAATCAACATAGGCAACACAGTCGTAGAAATAGTCGATACGGTTAAAATCCTAGGACTGACATTTGACGCACATCTAAAATGGAATACACATATAAAAAGCCTGAAAAACGAATGTATCAGAAGACTGAGTGTACTCAAATGCATCTCTTCGAAAAATTGGGGAGCCGACCTAGAAATTATAAATAACACGTACAAAAGCCTCATCAGGACTAAGCTCGACTACGGATCAATAGCCTATAATTCAGCGCGTAAATCGTTACTCAAAACATTGGAACCCGTCCAAAACGCAGCCGCGAGAATCATAACAGGAGCATTTAGAACCAGTCCAGTATTAGCGATCCTAAGTGAAGCGAAACTTCCTCCTTTACATATAAGACGTATGCAAACCACGCTGAATTACGCGACTTCTATAGCAGCGACACCAGACAACCCCGTATTCAAATTGATATTCAAAAATAGCAGCATTAACTACTCACCATTCAAAGCCCATATATCGATACATGCTAGAGTGGAATTATATCTCAAAAGCGTGGAAAAATCTATTGGACCCGTCCTACCTCAAATGCAGCTCAACTCTCCGCCTTGGCTTGCAGAACCAATGGTCATCCTTGATGACCAATTTCCTAGTGTCAAAAATGAAATGAATACTACTACCATACAACAAATATTTAGTAACATCAAGTCCAATTTCAGCGACCATACACCTATATTTACAGATGGATCGAAATCTAAGAATGGAACTGGCTGTGCTATATTAATTAATGGAGAAATTCAAAAGTATAAATTGCCCGCCTCATGGTCGGTTTTTTCAGCTGAAGCTCACGCTGTGAGTAAAGCTGTCGACTCAATTGCACTAATGGATATGAACAAATTTATCATCTTCTCCGATTCAAAAAGTATACTGTCAGCATTGAAGGAAGTTAACTCAAAAAATACTGCAATAAAATCAATCAATAACAAACTTTTAGATTTAAAGCACAGGAATAAAATTGACAGCATTGTTATAGCATGGATACCTTCACATTGTGGAATCAAAGAAAACGAGATAGTTAATCAAGCCGCAAAGGAAGCAGCAGCTATGTCCAATGACACTGTGAATATTGAACCCCACCCTCATACAGAGAAAAAGAAAGAACTGTCGTCTGCCATAAATGAGTATTGGAACGAGCTGTGGAAGAAGGCCCCTGCCTTAAAAATTCATGAATTCGTACAAAATTTCTTCGACAATAGGCCAACTCTCGATGTCACACGCAAAGAGCAAGTCATTCTAACAAGACTCAAAATCGGACATACGAACTTAACCCATATCCATCTAATCACGAAGGACAAACCAAATAAGTGTGAAAAATGTGCGGTGTCGCTATCAGTGAAACATTTACTATTGGAGTGCGCGGATCTAGCTGAAGAAAGAAAAAGTTGCAACCTTCCAATTGAATACTCGAACTATTTTGCAAAAAAAAAATCGTGCTACAGTGTACTAGAACTTCTGAAAAGAACTAAGTTTTTTCATTCAATCTGACTGCCTTTATTTTTCTCTTTCCTTAATTCATATGTATATGATCTGCTATTTAATTATCTCTTTCAATTATTTCTCTTGAATCAATCATGTATACCAATGCAAATGAAAATATTATACCACAATCATGTAAAACGCTAACAATTACATATCTCGACTATTCGAATGCTATTAATCCTGTAGTCACTAATAACCAATTTGGTGGATGTGACTTTAAATTGTTAATAAAAAAAAAAAAATAACACAAAAACTCGCACGTTATCGATTATTGAAGTTGATGTATACAAAATTCGTTTTCTGAAAATTACATTAACATTTTTTGTAAAGAATATTTGCATAAACATACTGTCATTATCATAGATCATTTTGTAATTCAAAATGTTTCATTTTTACAAAGAAAAAAAGTTTTATAAAAATTACAATTAATTTGAAGTAATGGTTTTGTGAAAATAAGCTTTTAAATTAACAAAGCATCATTAAAAATATATTATTTAAAGCGAATAATAAAGAAATCTCACTTAGAATTTATCAAGACATACGATGATTTGAAATAATGGGCACTTGGCAGTTCATTGTCGAAATCGCTCGAACATAGTTAATAACGGTACTCAGAATGTGCGCGGCGAGATCGCAATAAGCTATTCGCTCAGTGACTGCATGCGGCGCGTATCCATCTAGGGCGATCTGCCATGTGACTGACTTTTATTGTGTTAAATCTAGCTGATACAGGACGGTGCCGCTGCCACCAGCGCCGACTACGACGACAGTGAGAAGACAAACGCTCGAGTTTCGGCGAGAGAGATATCGGGTGATAATGGGGCTGCGCTGCATGCGACGTCGAAACGCGAGGATTCCGTTTTGGAATTTTGATGGTGGCGATAAGGTTTCCGCCTGGCTTGTAACCTGTAGTTCCCCAAAATGGAGAGTGTATTCAAACGCCCGTAGCTGCTTAATAGGACTCACCGGACCTCTTCAGAGATATACTTTTATCAATCCGCAGTAGTTTTACAATGAGAAATTATGATAAATCTGGATGAATCAATCACTAACTTTAATTTGTTTTGCATTATTTTCCTACAGAGCGGCTTATGTGGGCAGAATTTATATACTCCAATGAAAGCAATTATTTTCGGCAAATGTCGATATGGAAATTCGATACATTCGAAATATGCAGCGAGTGATATAAATCAAATAGTATTCAACGAATGTTGTGAAAGGAAAAGTATGCTTTATTTTTCTGTGAATTCCATACGCGATGAAACATTAACTGTCATTAATCGTCATTCATAGATATTTCGCAACGACTATATTGAAAGATAAACACTAGATATATCAATGAAAATCGTAAGGAAACGTTTAGCTCCCGATCATTTTTCTCAGTATAAGAGTATTATAGAAAAGTCCTTAAAAGAAAAATAGTGGCTATCAAAGTAGTACAGATAAACGCGCGAGTCGCCAGTATTTCGTCGAGAGCACGCGAGAGAGTATACATCAATACCGGGGCGATATTGGAAAAGCTCCGCACGCGAGGAAAATTAATACTTATCGCATTTGGAATCGAGGGAATAATACGAAGAAGTACGTTATTGCGCGAGAAAGAGACGGATTTACCTCTCGTACGCGGATGCTGCTAGTAGTACTCGGTGTCGCATAAAATCCGATTTCGATAATATAACAGACATGCAGAGAGAGTGAGAGAGAGAAAGACTTTGGGAACCATATACGTCTTCTGTAACTACGCTTCCTGCATTCCGAAATAGGCATCGTACATCGTGCCTTCCAAGCTAACGTAACAGGACTACCATCGACTTGTTATGGGCCGTATAGTGACGTGCGCAAACGTTTAGGGGCATACACACTTTACAAAGCTATTGGAATTCAAGTGCACCGTTTTTGACGAGAGAAAAAAAATGATCTCAAGCATTTGCATTTCTTGAGGGCATATCGCACGCTTGATAGCACTCTATGAAAAACAGTTAAGAGCTTTTCTCAAATAACGCACAAATGCACATGAAAGATATCTATTTATGATTTTTCAAAATGGAATTCCATGCGCGTCCTTAAGTTCACTTCGGATCTTGCGATTTTTCTCAAATAGCATCCATTCTCTCGTAAAAAAACTTGTCAGTAGATAATTCTCGACTCAATCAGACAATAACGTTGAAAAGGAAACAGTTTATCGCTTCACAAAATCTTCAATTGCATCACCGTACTTACATCGAATAATACATCACCCGCAGACGAATGATAATATCAGCGCAGAGTGAATGTCAAACAATCCGTCCTCACTTGTAATCATAAAGTCAAAAGCCATGGTGATGGTGGTAGCTTGGTAGCTCTGTCATGATTACATGAAACGTGCGGCGCAGTGGTAGGACGCAATCAATAAATCTATCGTGTCGGGGTGATTTTACGACCGCAAACTGTCCATCACGACAGGACGGTGGCGAATCATCGCCGTCGTGTGAATATAACCTCATACAGAAATATATCGCTAAGGACGTTTCTATTATCACCTTGCCAGCGGCAGGCTTGCTGTTAAGCAGACTTACTACTCTCGCGCTATTGAGTCGATTGCAGTATTTCGATAATTATCACCTCATTAATCTGTCAAACGACTATTGAGAGCTCAGGCTTCCTATACTATGTTATTTGGAGAATTTTTAAAAATATCTCGTTTTTCATACGAACTGTTCAGTTATTTTTATTGAACAATACAGTTTTTGCTGGTCTGTAACAATTTGACAGATCTAAGAGCAAACGTTAAGCTCGTTAAAATGCAGCAGTAGCAGTCTGGAATCGTCTGAATGAATCAGTGGCGAACACGCGCAATGTAGGTTAAGCCCAGAGCTATATACTCTTCTGCAATGATTGTGCGCCTGTGGTTAGGCGTCTTCTAATCCTTTATATACCTGCGTAAACACGGACACCCGCGTATAAACTATCTGACCTAGCGCAGCTCGCTCAAGCTCTACTGGCGTCGATTACTAAGATCCGATGGGCACCGAACCCTTTTGAATTGCACTTCTACTGTTGCCGCTGCCGACGACGACGCCGGTTCCGTATTGTTTCTCTCATAAGAATCTTTTGTGCGTGAAATGAGAGTCGAGCCTATATTAAAATTCTTACATGATAAAAGATGCTTTTGTTTTAAAATCGTGCGGGATTTAAAAATAACATTTAACAGAAAAAATGTATAATATCTATTTTAATATATTAAGATTCATAAAATTGGGAATTTATCGGATTTGTGTTCTGACATTATTTGATAGTGAATAAATTGACAAATTATTAACTATTGATGCATAATATCTTTCAGAAACAAATACCAACACTCTACATTTTTTTAAACGCTCCAAGCTGCAGATGAATACATAATTGGACAAAGACAATAAAATACAAAGTGATAGCATTCTGCAACGATAAAACCTTTTTTTCTCAATTGAGAATGAAATTTCTAATATACAGAATAACCTTTGTATTAAAATCTTCATTGACCTTCTAATTTATTTTTGAAAAAGTCCGGCATTTTTTTCGCGAAGAAAAAAAAGAATTTTCATTTTTCAGTACCTGTGAACGTCCATTTTAAGCGAGGAAAAAGAAAAGAAAACGCTAACATTTACACTTGAGTGATTCAGAAAAATTAAAATCCATCAAGGCGTGAATCAAACCTGCCTAAAGGAAACTATCAATTTTGCAGTTTAATTAAAACTCGACGTTACCTGCGACATATAACTTGGCTTACTGTACAGGACCATTGTCATCGTTTACTTCAGCTAAAAACCTTTTTAGATGAAATTGAAATTTGTAAAAAATATTTTCTGGATGACATATTCCTATGTAATTATTAACGCTCTGAAATTAATATATTTATTATTTTAGATGGCCAAGTCAGGTATGCTGCAACACAAGAACTAATTATAACATAAATATTTCATTTAATTATTTTGTAAATTTCGCGATGACACGATGACGTCACGTTGAACACAATTATATTATTTTTATAACAGCCATTAATGATCGAATATATTTTATTAAAAATGTATACTTTTCGAAATTGAAAACAATCAAGTCACACAAAATATAATGTGTTTAAATTTTCAGTGACGTTAGTGTCTAGGCTTACGAGTAAAGTCGACGCGAATAATTCAGTGGCTAATGAAATTTCTTGTTAGGTCACGTGTTGCTGCGATGAATTATTCGTGATTCGCCGATCTATGACTTGTAAACGAAGCTTATGCATTTTAGTTTTTATACATATAGGATGTTTAGACATGCATGCTCTCGCGATTGATTAAGATTTTATCAATTTAATGTAGATTTATAATGAGGTTGAGAAATTTTTTCTATATGTTTATATTTGATATGAAATTATTTAGTAATCTTCATTCTAAATTGATTTAGTAGTTAATGTAAACTGTGAACACTGTTTTTATGTACCAAGTGAGACGAATCCCATTCACGACTTGCGACTATTTGCAAAAACTATATAGCAAGTTAGGGAAACTTCATGAGTCAACAGTAAATCAACGAAGTTATCTCACGAGATATATCACTATAATTTAACTGAAGAATCCTTTTTCAATTAACTTCACTTTAGGCGTTACTTACTTGTGAATTAGGTTCGAGGAGGAAGGCGTATAAGTTTGATAAACAAACAGCCAGACATGCAAACGTTCGAGCTAGCGTCGCCCGTGTGCATATATATGTACAGTTCAAATGGAATTCGTAAGTCGATGCACGTATGTATGTGTGCCTTTGACGACACTCGAGGGAGCGTAGCAGTAGTAGTAGCAGCAGCTCTCGTAATTTAAATTGCCTCCAATACATCAGACGCCCGAAATTCCCGGGCGTCACTCGGTCTCTGTCTTTTTATTAGCGGACGGATACTTTTTCAGTGTCTCGTTTTCGGGAACCTTCTGAATGCACGACCGAACTGCCCTTCTCTCTTTTCTTCTCTTTCCACGTTTTTCTTTTTTTTTTTCTTTGTAAAGGAAAAAAGCAACTTCGTTGACTGAAGAAGAGTGCGGGTGCTCCATGGTAATGCAATTGGATGGTGAGAATGAGGACTCTTTTTTCGACACTCTGCATTTTGCGATCTGGTGCACGAGATTCTTTGACAACGACGAACGTCATGGCATTAAACATGTCTTCTTTCTTATTAGCATTTTCTTTATGAATCACAGCTAACAGATATAGTATAATGTTTTAGGGAACACTTTCATTTTATTTTCAATTTTTTTATCGCTACATATATATTAAGGCCGTTTTCTGTAAAAATAAATAGGAATCTGTATTGATTAACAAGCCATTGTTTCAATAATTTTAAGAGTACATTGTAATTAAAAACTAATAATAGCTGAAAAGAAAATATAATTATTTTTGAATAAGTTAATAATATCCGATCAAAAATTATTTTAAATAATATAATTCAGCAATTGTTTGTTTCAATACTAAACTATTTTCTTTATCTATATCAAGCGAAAAAATAAAATTTTTCGTAGACATTTATAAATATAAAAAACAAAATAAGATGCATTTAAGGATATTATAATTTCTAACGATTCTTTATCCCTGTATAAATACATAATTTTTTTATTACCACGCTGTACCTATGGAAAGACAGAAGAGACGTACAATCGGCAAATTACACGACTACTACTTTTTCCGAGTGCAATTTCCTCTTCCGAAACAAACAAAGTATGTAGTGTAGAGAACGTATTTCTCGAAAAATACGATCACTTAGACCGCGCGAGCACATCGCCAGACTACTCGTATGTACGTATACCTATAGAGAACCTTGCACCCCAAGCAAGTGAGCCGCTCATGTCAACGAAACTCACTGCATTCGTAAAGTAGAAAAGTTCCGTGTGGAAAAAAGTTAGCTTGTGTGTGTCTGTGCGTCATGCTAACGTTGGCAATCTTCCCTGTAGGCAAAAATGGACCGAGGCTTTTCTTTCCTTTTTTGCTTGATTCGTTGGCTTTTAGCTTCTGCTCGCTCGAGGGAGGATGAGTACATGAAATTTCAAGGGAGAAAATGCGTCAGGCCGCACTGCCGCACAATTTCGCCGATTTTTCCTCTCTTTGACCTAACCACTTTCCTCCATACTCTTTTTTAATTTAGGTAATGTTACAAAGCGTTTTGCGGTTTAATTGCGCCGTATCTCTTTTTCTCTCTTTTCATCTCTCTCTCTCTTTCTCATTCGTGCAATTATTCTTGTATTGATCTCTCTTCTTTATTTTATTTTGCTGACCTCACACCGTTGCTATCTCTTTGAAAATCGCATGTGGGATTGTAAATTACAAGGTAATTAAAGCCCTTTGCATTTGTGTATCATGTATCTGCGAGTTTATGAAAGCTTTATGGAAATTACTGTTAAAACTGAGATTTTTTAATAGTATCACGATTGAAACGTGAACAATTTTGATGAAAAGGTAAAATCTTTGGTTATTTTCAAAAGCAGAAAAATGCAAAAATGAATTAAATTAACCTATGTCAAAAGTTGAAAGTTAGACTCTCATTTAAAAATTATTTTTATGTTAATATAATAATAATAATTATCATTTAGTTACTAGTTTTGACTGGAATTAGTGTTCTAAAATCTCTAATGTTGCTCATTAATATTTTCGATTCCTGTAGAAACCTTCAGACCGTGTATCAATTTTGAATAATAGATATATATATATATATATATATATATATATATATATATATATATATATATATATATATATACGAAGCATCGACAACTAACCTCACTGAATAATTACACTAATCAGGTGGAGGGCGCTCACACAATGCCTGGCATCTCAAAGAGGAAATCAAGTGGAGTGTCTCTGAAGCAACTTATCGATGACATCGCCGTGAACGACGAGGAATGGAATTGCCTCGTAACCATGTTAATCGAGACTCGCGAGAGTCAAATGAGCTACACATTATTGCTGAACGAGGCCTGCGAGAATGGATGCAGAAAGTCAGTGCACTTGATCAATCGTGATAAAATGCTGACTAACCTAAGGCTGTCTATAAAACGAGACTCTTCTTATGTAGGTAAGTCAGTTATCACATCCGCATATAAATAATTATGAATTAGGGGTCGAATGAGTTTATTAATAAAATTGTATCACAAGACTTTATTATTCGTTGAAAAGATAGTAATAATAATTATTGTAATATGTTTTTTATTCTCAGTAAAGCAAAATCCATCTGTACAGAAAATCCGCGAGTCCATCCAGACGTGCTTACAAAGTCAACGTAGCGATGCGCCAGCCAAGGACACTGGACTCTCAGAAGGCGCACTGATCAAGTGGATGATTTACGAGGTGCGACTCGAGTGGCTAGCAAGAAGCGCAGCCGAGCACAAGGAACCACAGCCAAAAACCAAGTTGAGGCGACGTGGCGAGGAGTGGCGAGATCGTGTCTATGTCGACGATGCGCCAGAAAATGGTATTTGAGGTTTCTCTAAATTATGACTTTGCACACTTATCAGTGGACGGGCGGAGGGACTACTGTTGAATTTATGGCATTGAAAGTTCTGTTTTTTCACGTCAGTTTGTCGTACAATTGAAACTCGTAACTAACTTGGGCTATCAAAGCGATTTGAGAATTATATTCAATCATTAAATAATTGTTTGCGATAAATTCTTCTATACAACTACATTTTTCATTTTTCAAATTCATTATTTATTGCCATCTCGATGATTACACCATTAGTACAGATTATTATATGTAAAATACACAATAATGTAAGACACATTATTATATGTAAAATACTATCATAATTACTACTTATATAGTTTATATGATTTATATACAAACGAGGTAATTGTTCGGTTGATAATACATTAAAGATCGTGCATAGTTATGAATATTAAGGCAGTATATCACGATCTTATCATATAGTACAAAACAGGGAAATAAATGAAATTGATACGATATCAAATCGCTATACAATTTTTAACACTGCGTTCAGATGTTGCTTATTGTTTCACACCGACTATGCATCTGTGGATATTTGAATAGTTTTGCGCATATTGGTCAACATACCTACGTGTGCGGAAGACAACTAATTTGTTTTTTTGTTGGAAGGTCCCCACGTATTTATTCTTCTGACGGGATTTCGCGATGCCAAATTGCCTTTGGAATTAATGAAAATCCAAGTGCCGCTAATTTGTATTTTACGTCTCGAAAACTTTCATTCCGACGGCGATTACGAAGATTCGTCGCAGAGCGACCTTGAAACCGTCAGTTTTTCGAGGTAAAAAAGAAAGAGACGTTTAATAAAAGCTAATCAATATAATCCACTGAATATAATCATTCTTAAGGTCAGATTGTGAAGCGAGCAACGGTGATGAGCGAATTAATTTCTGGATGGAATTTGACAAAAGCCAGTGTCCTGACATAGCCATCCGTTGTTTCTGTCCTCCTTGCAATCTGGACGACCTTTACGATCGTATATCATACCTACTTTACGACGTGCACGAGTTAGTGCAAGCTCGTGCGGCGTACTTATGCGCAATGAAGGTAATACACGTGTACGAGCCGCGGCCCGAGAAACAAATTGCTTCCGCCTACGAAACCCACTTGAGTTCACAGCAGCAGCCTACTAACGTAGGTATCATTCTCGAGGCTATGCTATACCAAGTGGAGAAAAGTTTTCAACTCGAGGATGATGACTTTTTTAATGGAAATACAGGTACGCCTGTGTTTTGAAAAATTATGATTGTCTTATATTTACGGATTAAAGTTGAATTTCGGACTTTTTTTCCGTAATTCAAATCTTAAAAATAGAAATTTAAATGAGTTTTGCTTCGAAATATCGATCCGCTTGACAAAATCTGTAGCGATTGATATTTTGAATTTTTACTATTAAAACTCGTTTGAATTATAATCACGAAGAAATCTCATCAGCAAGAATACTCAAAATGATTGTCAAACACGGCCAACATCACATTGATGCTCGTCGCGCTTTATCTTTATATTCACTCGCAACTTGGCCCATTATTCGCTTGCACAGAGCAAACGCAAGAGGCGACGGAAGACGAGAACGAGTCATCGAGGCTGACTTCGTTAAGCGAAGTGAACTTGGCGGCTTTCGCGCGTCTTACCGAGAAACTTCGCTTATTGAATTTGAAATACGAGCTCATCTCAGACCAAGCTGAATTAATTCTTCTCTATGGCGACTTGCTTAATGTTTGTCACGCTAACGATCAAGCTTGCAATTTGAAGAACTTGCCAAGAATTGCTGAAGCTCGCTGCAAGCGCGATCTTGCCGAGGTAATGTATGTTATTTTTCATCAATTGATGACTTTATTTCGGAGTTAGTCGAGTTCGTCGAACTTGCAAGAAAAACTTTTAAGAAGGAGCCACACGATGCCAAATCTTAATATTTTGTCTTTCCAATACAGGTTGAAGCGTGTAAAATACACTTACCAGGTATTCTTAAATACAGCAAAGAAGAAGGAATCGATCGATACGCAGCCACCCATCTTTTGAATCTCCTAGGACTCAAAAAAATATTCAATTCCAATTCACTTGATCGAAAATCATTAAAACTCAGTGTTTCAAACTCGAATAAAGATGTATATTACCTTATAAAAGTAGATGATAAACCGGAAAACGAAAACCATGCAACTAGGCATAATGAAAGTAATAACTATTAATTTTTTAACAATATTTTCCAGTCAAAAGTCTTATAAAGATTGCAAATTGACTGTAAATGATGAATTTATCTGTTTGCAAGGATATCAGTCAGAAGTTGAGAGTAAGAACAACAACCTGACCATGACAAGATCCATTTTCCAAAACTTCAGTTTTGAAACAAAACAAGTTTATAAAGTACAGCAATTTGATAATATTTCTGAGAAGAAACTTGAAACAAATAATGATAGTGCAAGCAGTGAATCTTCGTTAAATCTTGATTACAATCAAATTAGATCAAGAAGGAATTTTGTTAGTTTGGATGAGAGCGAGAAATTTGAAAAGGAACGCGAGAGTGGATTGACTACGACAAATGATTCAAGTATGATATATTAATATATATATTGATAAAATTCTTGCAAAGTTAGGCAAACAATATTCATTATTATAATTTAAGAAAATCATTTTTTCGAATTTTAAGCTTAAAATATTGTCTTATAATGCCTACGAAATGTTCATTATGTCATACTATACAAAGCCACAAGTTCATGAAACTTGCCATGACTTTACTCTATCAGTCGCGAAATGAACCCGATTCTTGGTAACCACAACCTTCACAGGCTATCGTTGCGTTAAGCCACAAGCCACGAGATCGACAAAACTCTCCGAGGCGCGGAGACTTTCCTCATTAGAGGAGACGTCATTGCTGCGCTCCTTCGAGAAATGTACCTCACTTTTCGGCCTGATTGACGCGCGTGAAAGCCTCGGTCTTGAAACCTCGTCGCCGTATACTGGTGGTTATCCGCTGCTTGAGTTTGCTGAACTATTGGCTAGTACACGGATACTTCTTGACTGCTTTCACAGTTACACATTCTCAGATGTTCAATACTTCGCGCCTACTGATTCAGTTTTACTACTATTTTACAATGAGGTGAGCAAATTAATGTTTAGGGAATGTTAAAGTAAAGTGATACCGAATGAGTGTCAGTTTGTTTAGAAAAAGTTGAAAGATTACAAAAAATACCTTTAGTGCGCAATTTACAAAGCTATTCTCATTAGAATAGATTTTCTACATACGTCTGATTTTTTTTACTTAAAAAATAGAGGATAAAATTCAATGGTCATTCAATAAAGGGTCACGACTCTTACTTTTTTTTTTCTCTTACGATAAAATAAAAGGTTATCGCCTTCTGGGTGCAAGCCGTGTGCATTCAATAAAAAAGAAAAAAAGGGGGCAGCGCCATCGCGAGAGAAAAACTTTTAAAAACAAAAGGCGGCCACACTCACGAACTTTTCCAATAACTCGTCGTAGGCACCAGGCCGAGTAGCCGAGAGACGCGTCACGTGTGCTTTAAGAACGCCCCTTTGCCTGCGTGACTTTTGTGAGTACGTCATCGACGAGGAACGCGAATGGCTGCAACGGTACATAGCCAGTAGAGTATCAACAAGTCACATAAGGATGACGGATAACAAATTGGAAGAAATTAACTTTAAAGATGAAGATTTTTTGTTGCCTGGTTCATTGAAGACTACTGAGTTTTTAAAACTCAAAGGTGAAGAGACTTGTAAAGTTGATGAGGAGAAAACACCTGTCAAGAATGGTGAGGAACAGGTGTTATTTATTTTTTTAACGAGATACGAATTGAACGGAATTTCAATTCTTTTTATCAAACGAGGCATGATTTTTTTTTGTTGTTACTGGCGATACCTGATGCATTTTCTATTTGAACTTTTTTTTTATTATTATTGCAATTTTATTTTTATTAAAGATTTATTGCATTCTTTGCACTTGGAAAAATATTATCCATAAAACAAGCTATTTAACAAAAAAAAAATATTTGAAAATAATTTAATTTAATGTGATTGATATCTCTCGCGAAAATTTCAAATGGGATTCCATCTCCGATATTCTATTTCTTTTTTCGATACAGAACTCTAAATTTAATTAAGAGAAGTATCTGATCGAAACATTTTAGCTTATTTCATCAAATAAGGCTATGATCGACAGAAATATTTTTCATTAAAAGCTATTTGTTTTTTTATTTTTGGATGTCAATTGAGAATAGCAACTCAAAGTTAAAATTCGATTTGAAAATTTATTCACAAAAGCGCATTCGAAAGCAAAATGAGTAATGTCAATAGCAAGCTAAATTTCAGTATATTCATCGTGTTACAGCAACGTCAACCAAAGTCACGATGAGTTCAAGTACTTCGTTGAAAAGCAATGGATTGAAAGTTGAGCCGACGTTTGAATTTATTGGTTATGATCTCGGTATGGCTCGCGTTCAAGTTACCAATCTCACAAGATCGTACGAGGCGGGCGACGGCGTGCGGCTGCGCTTGACGCGTGACATTTGGCTGCATGACGATACCAAAGAGACGATGACGACGAGCCTTGAGATCGAGGTGCCCGATTGCTGCAGTCTCCGCTATCATGAAGTATCGCACGATGAGAATCTCTTTCACTTGACGACCAAAAATCAGCTTATCATTGCATTCGCCAGGAAGTCTCGCTTCTTTAGTAAGATTATCTTCTTGGAAATTTTATCTACGATAGATTTTTCTTTGTTTATGCAAGCTTAAGTACATAATTTTTTTTTTGACTTAATCTGCGTAAAGATAAAATACAATGATTCTTTTCAATATACAAGGTACGTTTACCTAATATGCTCTATCTATGTGTGAACAGCTATAACTTTTGACCGGAAATGAATTTTTTTTACGTAGGAGAATTTATTTGAAAGTTACTGTCCGACCCTTCATTGAACGATCAATTCGATGATACGTAGCTTGAGTTATAGCTTTTTGCAGCAAACTTCTTTTTTTACATACGCAAGTTAGTGTGCCCAATGTAGCCCCTTTTGGAAAACGAATTTTAGAAGGTAAAAATTAATTCAAATTCTACATATTTACCTACAATGTATTGAAAAAATGAAAAAGTTGCTTAGTCGGAATACGAAAGATCCTTGAAAATTATAATCAACGCTTCGTAGCTTTCAAAATTTTGACACATTCGTCAATTAACTGTAGTAAATAATTGCCACGAGGTGGCGTAGCACTAGCGTACTTCAATTCGAAATACCAGCAAAGAAGCATATTAGGAAGCGGGGCATATTAAGCAGATGTACTTTTTATGAAATAATCAATGTTATTTTGTAAATCTGAAAAATTAATGTATCAATGATATCGATAATGATATTTCCAGACTACACGAACCCTGTAAACGAACTCATGTATGAAGTACAAATATCTTGCCCATCTGGATTGATAATAAAGCCAGAGGAATACCCAGATACGGATTACCCATTTTATGTCTTGCAATATTACTTATTCAAAGATTTTGAATGCGAGAGCATTAAAAATGAGAGTCATCGAAAGTACTTGCATAACGGTGATGTCGTAAAATTTTTTAGCGACGGTTCGGTCGTTGTTCTTCGACCGAACGGAATAGTGATTACACTCGAACGTTCAGAGGAAGAAGGTAAGTTTGTCGGCTGATTTAAAAAAATGCAATTGACTTGGTTAATCGAACAATTTGAAGTTCCTTTGTAGGCTATGAAAAACCGATATCTGATTGCGAGAAGAGTTGTAAACGCGATGATAGCACCATTGGACTTTCACGAGAAACTTCGATTTTACTTGAAAAGGTAGCTTATTTATACTGAGTCGTTGGCCATTTGTTGAATGGTGTTAAATAATAGAAAGGTTATTTCTAACATGAATAGATTCATTTTCATTTTATTCAAAACAAATACTACTTTTTTTTATAAATTTATCTACTATACACGTTAAAATATTTATTGTTTGAAGAACGTATTGCTACTGTGAAATTAGTTTAATTATCATTGAACGGTTGTAGCAAACTGGTTTAAAAGATTAAAAGGCAAATTGACCGTTTATTTTTATTTTATTTTGAAAACTCTGATAAAAAAAAATTAAAATTTTAGTATGAATTATGGATTTAATGTTTCCGCAATGTCAATAATATTGTTAAAAAATTCAACAAAAAATTATGGCAAATTAAATTTATAGTTGCATTCAATTATAAAAGGTTGATGTATCTCATCACCTCACTGATAAAAGAAGGTTGAAAAAACTGATTCTAATTTTTCAATGACCAGTACTCCTCAGAGTGGCAAAAAACGACAGAGTTACGTTATGTAGTGCTTGAATTGGATGGGCGACACTACGAAGTAGTAGACGGTCGAATAGTCCGCGAGCTCGATCGATTGCGCGCCAACCTCGCAGAGGAGTATTACGTAGAAGAGAAGTTCGCACGACGGGCAGACGGCACCGATGCCCTGTTTACGTCTGATGCAGAACTCATTATTTCCTTTCCCGGTTTGCATTTTTACACTACTTATTGATCTATATTACTTAAATTAAAAACAAAATTTTTGTTTCATCCCTTTACAATTAAAAGTTTTGTCGCTGTTATCGATTATTTTTATCAAATACTTGTTGTACGGATATTTGTTATTAAATTTTATATAAGTTAATAACAAATTTTCGTTATTTCATATTAGTTGGTAGAAGGTACAGATAAGTTATTTTTTAAGTAGTAATTTTCAATAATAAAAAAGACCCCAAATTGGAATTTTACTGATATATTGTCGTTAATGATAAACCAAATGGTGATGGATGCGTCACATGTGGGAATACGCTCTTGTAAAAACCTTTTTTTAATGTCATGATAAAGTTGTCAAAAGAAGCCATATCTCGATAGTGTATGTGTGCGCGCGCGCGTGTATAGGCAAGTGGGTACGTGCGTCTATTAAATATAAGCAATAACCAGAGGTACGTCTATGTCAGTACAGATGGCACACGAACGTTAAGCAGTTGCATGATCAATGATGATGAAATAGAGGGGAACGAGGATGGTTTCGTCTTAGTGTCGATGTATAACCGCGCTGAACATCCAAAATACGCAAGTGTCGCAGGCCACCGGTTGTCGGTGCATCAGCTTGAGTTTCAACTCGACGAGTTTGATCTGCAGTATGGTAACGATATTCGAATAGAAGTGAGTATCTCATATAACGATGATAGTAATAGTGGAGGGGAGATTGCGTGCAGACCATAGCATGGTAATTTTGGGAAGCTAAGTCAAGGTGCTTTGATGCTGCAAAGCTTCGCCAAATAATTAATGAGCATCGATTGATTGCGGTTTAATAACCATTGGCTTTTGGCTGGTATGCTTGCTGCCTGCCGAAACTTTGAAGTAGATTCTAGTTGCTCTATTACGCTGCGTTTACCATAATGTAAGAGCATGTTACTGCAGCTAATTTACCTTGCGGTTATCACAAGTGTTCTGCACCGTCACACTCACCACACAATGAGACATGAATTTCTAATTTGAGCCATTCATTCCAAATGAAACGTGGAGTTTTCGTTTTAAAACTTTGTCTCATCTTCCTCATCTCTGAAAGTGCACCATTTGAGTAATCCATGTTAAAACCCTTATCCTCTCGTTGTGCACAGGCGGCAAACGAAAGGGTGTCAATCAGTCACCAATGCGAGTGCAGTCCAGCATCCCAGGTGAGCTTCGATTTAGCCACGAGGGACAAGCGTCTGGTGACATTGCGCGACAAAGCGAGTCGGCTATTGCTGACTGTGTGGCGTGAAGACGCACGTTTCGAGTTAACCCCGGAGATTTGCCAGCAGAAGCAGCAGCAGCATAAGAAAACGACGGACGAAAAGCTACCTAATTGCAGAATGTTCGCGGTGAGTAATCGTCGTGAGCCTCTCACTTACGAGTATCTTCATCGATCACTTTGGCAGCGACACTTTCTACAAGAGATGTTTGACGACGACCAAGCTAGTTTGATTAGTTGCCGTGACGCTGATCATGGTATTCGCAGCTTTCTTGGTCTTCTACCGTTAAAGGAATGGATGATGGAGTATACGGTACGTGTTATGAATAAGTCATTAAATTTTCGATTAAAACGACTGGACTTCGCTCCGGAACAATACAACCATAATTCTACACGAATCAAGTTTACAGGAAAAAAAGGAATTCTGATTAAATATTCAAGTTGTATCGATACAAAGCAAGTGAAAGAGTCGACATGTCGCGCATGCAAGAAACTCGAAAGTCCATAAAAATGTATGCCTCTATCTGAATAATATATACAGATTCGAAAAGCGAAGCCGTCAGTCGTCGGCGGGGAGGAAGATGAGTTGGCGTTCAAAGCAACCACTACGACGACGAGACAGCGCTTTTTGAGAGCTAGACTAGTCGAGAGCATCGACGGCAGTAACGCCAACGACGAAAACTTACTGATCAGCATGCAAAGGGCTCTACTACGTTACTGGCGTGAGGTATATACGTCTCACTAAACGAGAAACCATTTTACATTACATTTATTAATTTTTCATTAGTATGCAAGATGTCTATGTGATAAATAAGAGAAGGAGTTAATTGGAATACATTTTTTTTAATCTCAGTTACATACCTTTGTAAAATGTATCTTCATAATAAAGCCTACTATTTAATTTAATAATAATTACAAGGATTTTGAACTTTATAGCTAGAAAATTTGAAGATTTTTTATATTATATATAGCGTTTTGGGAATCTAATAAACGAAAAAACTCAGTGGATTGATTTATTTTTACTTAACAAAAATTATTGTTAAAAGAGTTTAGTAAGCTAAACTATTTTGCATGTAATTTCAATAGCATTTGTTTTTCACCCCCAAAACAATCCAACGTAATCAGATTTTTTGTACAGATTTTTCGATTTGCCGAATCTACAATTTTTTGTTTACCTTTCATCGTAATCAATAAATAGTAAACTTAATATCCGCATCGAAAAGTGATTTTATGTCTGTATAAAGCGTCAGTCATTTGAATTAATAACAGCAATTATGCATGTATGTAGGTTGCGACGGATCGTGGAAAGGCATCTGAGACAGCAGTGGCAATAACGTGCGAGTGTCAAAGCGAAATCGAGAGCTGGATGAGGGACATTGCGCTGGGACGAGTTGGTACGATCGATTCTGAGAGTTACGAGGCCGGACGCCAGGTCAGTAGTGAGCTCGGAGTTTACTCATTTTTTCCTTTAGGGTCTTTAAGTTTTCATCAATTTGGACATTTTTTCGTTTCATTAGTCACTTAAATTAATTGAAATTAAAAAGGTTTACAAATAATAAACATTATGTTCGATGTTGATGAATTTATGAACTGTCATAGACAGAAATAAGTCAGCTGATTTCAATTGCAAATTTAGTTTCCAACTTCTAAAAAATTTATGATCCACGATATTGAGCTGAAAAGTTTATAATAATTTTCAGTCATACTTACGAATAGACACTTCGCTTCTTTTAACGAAGCGAAACTGAAAACTTTTTCTCGTTTTTAAATTTCAACGCAATGTTTAAAGTTATTGTGTCGTGTTAATTTTGAGTCAATCTCGTTTTTAAGCAGAAGAGAATCAAGTATAAATTCTACCGAATAAATATTGAGAATTTGCACGTCAACATACATAAATGTAATGATCACAAAAACCAAGCAGGAAATAAAGAAAATGCGAGCGAAAGAACATGAAGAACGAATACGGCAATTGATCGATCGGTCTTATGTGAGAGACAACGTACCAGAGACGGATGTCCTTGACTGGGATAATGAATAGTATCCAGAGAGGAAAAAAAGCACTATGTACACTTTTGCTGTGTGTACTCGGGAGGATTACAAACCACTCGAGGACCTTCAATATTTGCTCTGGGTATTATCCAACATTTCTTGCATTGCCTGATAAGACGACTCTAGTGCGACGAATATCTCTCTGCTATGTCTGATCTTTGACGTACCTCGGTATTTGATTTATATCGACATGCAAACAAGTTATTTTGTATTATAATATTGTGGAAATATAAAAAGTTTATTTAAGACAGCTTTAAGTTCAGTTACGTATCTATGTCGGCTATTTAATTTGATTGATTCATCCAGTTCCGATAGTGTAACAGAAACATATAAATGTTGCTACATAGGCTATTGACATATTTATAAGCAGTATTTTCTGCTACATTTAATAGAATAACTTCTCATATAACAATGCATGCGTGAAATACGTATTCACCCTACATTATTATTGAAATTTTCCATTTTGAAAATCGATAAAGTGACTATTCAGTCGGAAGATATATTGACGTGTTTCGAAAATACGTATAATTTTTGATAATTATAGCGTAATATTGCTCTAGTTTTTAAACATATTATATCGTATATTTCACCAGCGTTCTTGTAGTCCTCATTATTCTTAAAATAGTCAGGAACGGTTGGTCCTACAACACTTAACCTGTCGCACCGTACTTCTCTCTAAATTTATACCAGCTTCTTACTCTCGTATATTTTGATAATTTGTTTCTTTTCTGTCCTTTCTTTTAAAAATTTATACGATAACAATGTTTTACAATAATTATAAAAATATATTGTATATTTTAAAATACACTTCTCAACTAAATATGGAAATAACCAAAAGTATAATTTCCTTAACTTAAATTTTTGCGAGTGCTACCACTAGATTATTTATTGTCATTTTTATCATCTTACTTAGTCAGTTTTTAAAAACGATGATAATATTTTATTAATTACAATTCATTATACGCGCGAAATCTCATTATTCAATTATAGTAAGTGTTCGGGATGGTATGAGATGAAGTATCGCGAGAATACGGTTTGATACCAATATGCGCAACGACAAAACGATTGCCTGCAAACGCAGTATTGTTTGCATTCTTTCACCCAATTCTCATTCGTAAAATCCGATGCTTGACTGGCGCGTTGACATCTGATGTAGCTCGGCGAGAGAACTAAGAAAACTTGACTGAGTAAGCAAGTGTCGATCGCAATGAATGCGTTTTCGGTCGGGTAACACCGGATAATCTCTACGATCGCGATATGCCTCCTCGAAAGAAAACAAATACATTCTTTTACTCGACTGAGCGTATTTTTTGTTTTTTAAGCGGCGATCTAGTTTTAAGATATTTATAAGAACTGTAAAAAACGTAAGAAGCGTGAGCGTGAGCGATTTGAGCGGTGCGCCCTGATGCAAGCCGAGTTTTGTTTAGTTTTTGTAGCGTAATTAGTTGAGGCGAAACGTTGAGTTTCCTTCAGTTTCGTTCCTTTATGATCACGTTTATTCCTTTCTCTATGCATAAGATCTAACGATTAATCTGTCGTCAATGAGACTTATTGTGACTGAAGCCGCTGTCCACGCCCTGCAAACAAGCACATCACAAAACAGATGCTGCATTTGTTTCTTAAACCAGCAGGTCAGAACAAGATGGTTCATGACCTCATCTGGGTCTCGTAAGTCGAGCTCAAGGTTGAACGGTGGAGGGCAGAGAACGTGACTCTCTCCTGAAAACCTAAAAAAATTGTTATTGTATGATTGGGGGGACAGCAGGCATATTATCACCATTGGCTGCGGTGCAATAAGAAAAAAGCAACGCCCATTTGGTCTTATCTTGAACTATGAAAGTGGGGAGGAATTTCCAATTTCTCGGCTTGCAGCTAGTGACGCATTGACCAGAACGCTTCGAACGCTCGATTAGGCAAGTCCTTTTTCTTTCTAGCGCTAGAATTTTGTATTACTTCGAAAGGCATTTTGGCTTTTATTACAATTAATGGCTCTTGAGATTGTTAATTCCGATTAATTTAAGTCAGTTTATTTGTGTTTATTCCATAATTTATGGTATTTAAATAATTTGTCATAAGATTCTCTGTTCTCTAATGTTATACGATTATATAATTAAAATTGTTTGATCTGAAATTGATTAAAATACTCTCACTCATCCTCAACCCGAACAGTAAGTCAGTTTGATTAAGTGCTTCAATTTATAAAATAAAATAAATGGTAAGTGTCTGTGATGTTAAGAAAATACAAATATAATATTTAATAAATATATGCACGTCAATATGTGTGTGTGTGTGTATGTATGTATATATATCTATATATCGCTCGAGAATATGAAATGACATACATGAAACAAAATTAAAAAGAAAAAGAAGATTGAAATGAAATTCACAAATTTCATTTTTCGACACACTTCATATTTCGTGACAAGAAGAGGAATGAGAAGAGATAGATACAGCACTCGTGCGTAAAAATTATGACTTATTTTTACATTTGGCTGTTGCGGCCAAATATGCAGAGAATATCCAACGAACAAGGCCACGCCTCTGCGATTGCGCTCACGTATTTTTAACCTATATCATTTTTACCCTCCCGTTCTTTTTTTTTTGCTTCTCCAGGCAGGGCTAAGAAACTCTCCTTCTACGCGTTATAAGATTCCTCTTTTTATCGCGCGAAACGTTCCTACGGGAGTCCCGGAAGCTTCGCTCGTTTTCTCATCCTCTTTTTTCTTCTTCTTTTTTTTCTTTTGTGAAGTACCCGCGTGAAGGGGAACAAGAAGGAAAGTCGCTCATAGGCAAGAGAAATTAACGCTTTTTGTAATTGGGCTAGTACGCGTTGATCTTTTGATGAAATTAACGGATTTGGATTCTTCACACGTACTTTTGTATTGTTACGAGGATTTGCACGCTCTCTGCGCTCTTCTTGTCTAGATCTGATCTTTTAATTCACCTCTTAATACAGATGAAAAATTAGTTTGTCTATCAGACTGACTTGTTTTTTATTTGAATGAACGTGATTTTTGAATGATTTCGAAAGCGAAAATTTTTAGAATGCATTATGAAATGGACATATGGAGTGATTATGGTACGTTATATGTCGTTTAAAATAATTCTGCATTAATTAATTGTATCTATTTCAATGTAGCTATCGAAAAGATAAAATATACATTCTTATAATTCACATTAGAATTGAAAAGAAAATTTATCACTAAAATCCTGTTACTGACGCTCTCATGAATACAATATCTGAATGCCATAATCTATGTTAATATTATTCTAGTCATACAGAATCTCTTTGATACAATTATTATTTCTATTAGTATGATTAAAATTGATCTTGAATATTTAACCTTGATCATATAAAAAATTCTACATGTAATGACATTTAAAAATTTCTGAATGATTACTGTAATCATATTCTAACTTTGCACATTACAAATACACTGTAGGGATTGAATTGTAAGTTAAACAGGTAGTATTGACGCTGAGCAACACAAAGATAGCAAGTTGAAATTACCATTTCGTCAACTATAAAATTGCTTGCTTATTTTCATGTATTTTTTGCGCGGTAATATCCATAAAACATCAAACCTAACTATGGACAAAAATCTAACTCTGATAAAATGAATTACAGAATAACGGAGAAAGGTTCATCACGATAAGTTTTGCAAGATGATATGTGTACGACGGGTGAAGTAAAACGCCCGAGTTGTTATGTTGTGCGCACGGATGTGACGAGAGAGAGAGAGAGAGAGAGAGAGAGAGAGAGAGAGAGAGAGAGAGAGAGAGAGAGAGAGAGAGAGTCGCTGGTTCGGAAAGAAAACAAGATATTCTGGAAGGAAAAACGCTCAAAGACTCATACTTGCTACATAGGCTATTGTGTTATTGGACAAAGTTGGTCGTAACTAACGTTGCTTGATATACGACTGAAAGTAGAAGAGAGCGAGCGTAAGAGAGTGAGAGAGAGAGAGTATAGCCAAGTTTGCCTTTGCGCATTCAGTATCTGATCGCCATTTTTATTTCCAGTCAGAGAGAAAACTACGAGGATGCGCATTACGGGTGCCACGTAATTTTTCGATTTGATTTATGAATGACTGCTTTGTCCTTTTTTTATTGTTTGTACTGAAAATTTTCTTTTCTTTCGGTCAGTCCGTTTTTCCCATTTCATCGGATGTTGTATAAAATATTAATTCTGTGATAACTGTTTATCGAAATCGATACAGTTGTCAATTAAATAAACAGTAATATTACTACAAATATTTTATATTTTATATATAACATTCCGTGACGGGATTAAATAAAAGAATACAATGACATACGTTTTATAAATTTGTAAAGACACATTGGAAATGATTATTCCGTTGTTAACCACGCTTCTTTTAATCCATTGCTTTAATTAAAAAAATTTACTACCACTGCATTGAAATTTTATTTTTATTACTCATGTAAAAAAAAATTTACATAGTATTTTTTACATTATAAACGATTATCCAATTGGCAATTGGCATTCAACACAAAAAG